TTTTGTACATCAGTTCCTTGAGTTTTTTAGCCTATTGTGTAGCTCTTCAAAAAAGGCAAACAGCAAAGCAAAATACTTAACTAAATACTAAAACCACCTAATTTTTCAGTGTTGTGTTGACATGATGCTTTTGTCCCACAATGCAAATGGCACAGCTGGAAAAAGTGGAAAATAAAAAGCTAAGGTACTGATGGAAGTCACAAAATAAAAAATGAAAACACAGAACATTCTTAAATTACCTTAATACAATTGATAAAATTTTAAATGGTGATGGTTTACATCGGCACCGTGTACATATTGAGAAGCACTCTGAATACATCCATGGTATGCACACATCTTATTATCTCCTATTTTAGCCTAAAGTGGTTAAGTTTTTCTTTCAGCTACGAAAATAGTGCCCAGTTAGTTTTTGCAGCCTGCTGTTCACCTGATATAATTAGGTAGCATGAAAACTGGGACACGTATCCGGTTTGGGTTTGCTGCTCGCTGTCACCTGGAAGCTGGAGGATAATGGTCAGGATGAAATCTGTGTGGCGCTGATGTAAAGTGAAGGCGACGGGCAGCCTGGCTGACTCTGATAGGCTGAGACACCTGTCAATCAAGCCAACACACCCCAAAATCAAGCTTCCTCAAAGATTGCCACAGTTTAGAAAATGTACAGTTAAATCTGCACTCTGTTGTTTAATCCTCCAGCACCGGACACAATCTGGCAAATACCTTCTAGTTTCTATGTTAAAATGTTTAAATTGTTTTATGGGTTGGTGGAGCCCAAAGCAGAGCTAAAAGACTTGAAAACATGTCGATTAATCTGGATAAAGCTCCAGAGGGAAGATAATGTTGCATATGCATACTGGATGTGTAATTTGTGTCTATAATTGATTGCAGCAGCTTTAAACAAACACTAAAGTTAAACACTCTTACTGATTTTCTATACATTTACTCATTACTCACATTCGTATTAAAACTGGCCTTTTTCACACCATAACAGAACAATGAACAGTGGCTCTACTTTGTGTCCCAATAAGATGATGTGACATTGAGGCAGTGTGCACAAAACCAGAGCCCTAAAACTAAAGCAGCTCAAATAAATTCATCCTCGATTAATTTTAATGAGCTACACCGGTGCTTTTCCTGCTGTGATGTGTCAAAATATCTTCCGTAAAACAAGCTTGATCACAATAAAGGCTGTAACTGTAAATGAAGCGTACTCGATATCAATGTGATTGATTACACCTGTGTGTGTTTCCTGCTAAATGTCCACGAGAATCTCACTTAAATTGGTAGTTTTTAGTAGATTCTGGCATTTTTTATAACTGCCGTTATTAATTCTTGGCCTCCAGGGGATGCAAGAACTCCAGAGTAAACCAGCAAATTCACAGCTCTGACATGTCTACAAGAAATCTACTAGTTTTTACATGTGTTTCTGACAGATAATTCTGCGTACAGTGCAGTGCACAGTGGAAATAAAGAAGCCAAACAACCGAGAAGAAAATGCTGACTGACAAAAGAAGAGGTTAGCTCTTCAAGATTGCTTTGTTTTGAGGCAGTGTTTCTGTGATTTCCTGCCACACTGAGCTCCCTGTGCTGCTGACTCCGTCCTCCTCACCTCTTTTTCTTTTACTGTTTTCTTTACTTCAGACCTGAAACCTGCACAGTGCAACCAAATTGGGCAGTTAGGAGGTAAATGCCTTGTAAAAGGGCAGATTGGTGGGGAGTAATTAAGGGAGGAGAGAGAGAATGCACTTTTACAAACAGGGAAAACAGTCATTCAGTAAATGCAACCAAAGCGGTGGTGTCGGTAGACCTGGTTGTCTGAGGCTACAACCCCAAAAGTTTTATGAATGGTCCCAGATCTAATTCTGTTTGTTTGTTTGGTTTGACAAACGTAAGATGGATCTACTTATCTGTCATTATGATCACGTGTCACAGTTGATCAAAAACAGTCCCATATTATTTTATTGCCCTGTTTCCTGGAGCCAAAATATTTTTCTGTCATGTCTGTGATTTCTCCATTTCACATTCTGCAAATATCCAGCAGTGACATTATTGTGTGTATGGATGCTAGCCCATAACCACATATAAAACATGGCCTTTCTGATCATTAAACTTACAAACAAAATTGCTGCGTCGCAATGAAAAGACATTTTATTGTTTTATTGGAAGTCGTGTAGTGAAATAAGTCGTCATTTGACTATGGCAAGCAAGATTCTGTGTTTTTTTTTGTCTGCAACAGAGACAGCAGATTTGGCCTGATTGGTGTTATTGTGGTTATTTATTTGGGGTGTTTTGTTATGGATGAACTTTTCTCCTCACCGGATTCTGCATCTCTTCTCCTGGACTACTTAAAAGGTTCCTTTTCTCAAATTGCTTATCAATAAAATGCTATGAGAAACCAAGAATTTCCAGGACACACATTTACATATGATTATAGCTCTGGAAATCAGCATAAATGGGACTGATTCAGCAAAATTAGAGAACCACATGGAACATAGGAAGAAAGTGACATGCAGACAGCTCAGTGTCTTCAATTTTACATTAACTTTACTGTGAAATAGCCTAAAAAATGTGCAAATACTGGGTAAAAATCCAAAGATTTCTGAGCCCCCAATGCGTCAAAATCCCTAATCTCAACCCAACTCTCTCTAGTGTTTGTGCAAATCTGAGCTTCAAAGCCCCTCCAATACCAACATTATTCTTTTTCTTTACTGTCTGACCTCCTTGCAGAGACAAAAGCCCACCAGGTGGCGCAAAAAACACAGAGATTCTCACGGCTCTTTGAACGCAACATGACATAACATGACATCTGAGGAAAATATGCAGCGTCAAAGCTGGAAGCGCTTCAGTCTGTTGGCTCTTTGAATGAAACATATAACAGTAGATTATCAGGGGGTGAAAAAGTAGGTGTTTGGGATTTTGCAAACAGAACTAACTTGTGTTTTTCATTTTGCCACACGGGGTTGCTTACATCTGGCAACGCTGCTCCAAACTTTCACTTTAAGAAGGCGCGTCTACGCTGCGGTGTAGTGTGTTTATTACGATCCTTAAAGTGGCACATGGAGAGCGGAGCTGATTCCTGCATGGCACAGAGATGATTCCTACCTACAGATCGTTGTCCACAGTGAGGAGATGCTTTGGAGAAACTGATCCACGCACCGTCTTTGTGTAGTCTTATTTTTTATTTTATTTTAATTTTTTTGCGCGTGTCTTGAGTCAGTGTCTGCTCCAGTGTCTGCGGCAGCTCCTCACCAAAAGGCGCACAGCGAGCCGAGGGACGGGATCAGCAGATTCACACAGACGAGGCGGCGGAGGAGGAGGAGGAGGAGGTGGAGGAGGGATCGAGATCAAGCGAGACATGAAATAATCACCAGTCAGCCGTCAAAAAGAAGAAAAAAAAGAAAAGGTGAAGCACACCGGGAGAGAAATGGAGGCACCGCCGGGGACGAGCTGCTGTGAGCCCACCTTGGCCAAACGGGAGTAACCGAGACGAGAAACTGGTTGGGATGGCAGCATCCAGTAACTCCAGCCTCTCAGGTTCATCTCTGTCCTCTGGTAAGAGTTCAGGCACATCTGACACCTTTGAGCTTTTCGCCTTAGAAGATAAAAAAAACCCAGTAATTAATATTATAATTAGAATGTCATCCTTTTTTTTTTCTATTGAGTTCATCATTTTGCATGCAGTTGCAATTTCTGCTCTCATTTGGCAAACTTTTTTTGTCATTAAAACACAGATGCGCAAAACAAACATGCACTGAAAAATTGTGACATCTTCATATTTCCTCACAGGTGCTCAGTAAAACACACATTTCATTGAAACGCTGAGGATTACTGATAAGAGAAAAGCATCACCATCTGTTATAAGTGGATGCAGCAGTGGAAATATTAGAGGGAAAGGAAGCTTTTGGTGTGCACAAGGATTATGAGGTTTCACGCAGTCAGTATGACGCTGGGTTTTGGATGTTATCATTAGATTGCCAATCATCTCCATAATTCCCTTATTGACTTTCCACTTGGACGGCTTTACGGATTATCTTTGGCCTGTGTAGTCTACCATTTTCCAAAACGCAGCTCCAGGATGAGATGTTTTCTGTCAAAAAATTCTAATGTGTTAAGGTTCAGTGACATAATACATTTCAAACTGCTTCAGTGTGCACAAAAACTCCACTCAGTTCTTTCCTTTTCGCATGAGAAGAGGTACAGTTTAGCGATAAGCACCTATTATGTATTTGGGCAAAAATGCAATTTTCAAGGTTCAATTTTGGCAGAATGAGAACTGAAAGTTGGTTTGCAGCTGTTCAAATAAACCCCGAGTGAAAGAGCGGCAACCCGGTGCTCGTCTCTGTGAAATTCTGTGTTGATAAAGCGTGTTGCTGCCCATGTTTGCCAGGGTATAAAGTACAAACTCCACTATCACAGCGTTTGTTTGATGTGGAAGCCCCACCAACAACCAGAGGCGTGTGTGAGGCTGTTTATAATAACAGGCTCTGCGGTTTGGTTTATGGAAAGTAGCATGTAGAATATATCTAGAAATACTTTTTCCACCTAAAAAACACCTGCAAAAAAATCAAATATTGAATGGAAAAGCTGTATTTATGACAGGATGAGGGTATCGCATAGAGCTTTTGTTTTACTTATACTGTCCCTGCACCCCAAACCACACCACACAGTCAGCGTCACATTTCCCAAGGTACAGCCCAATGGGAGGGACAGACAGTCGTTTCCAAGCTGATATAGCCTGTGGTAACCGCAGGCTTCACAAAGCATTATCTCATGTGTGCGTTTCAGAAAGCAGCGGATTTACTGTTTGACCACTGCTGCTTTAAGAGGAAAGTCTTTTCTTTCTGTGGCATTGGAGGGTTGTCATTACTGTTGGGCTCTCAATATAATTATCAGAGGTTACAAGCTGCTCTGCTGCCAGGGATAGAGTGGTTGTCACAAGGGTATTATTATTTTCATGCAGAGCTCTTTGGCAGCCAGACACAACATTTGAATAATCTTGTCTATGAGGCATATGACTCAAAAAAAAAAAAAGGAATCTGCACTCAATTTCTGCTCCATATTCAGTTCTGGCTGCAAACAAAGTGCTCGCTGTGTAGTTATTTCAGCCGCTTCGAGTGATAAGTCTGTCTCATAATCTTGTAGGACGGTGTGTAAATGAAGTTCATCTAACTTGTCTGTGTGAATAATCAAAGTGTCGCTGATGGCACTGATGGAGCACCGACGATAATCGTAAAGGTAATTACGTCACGGAAGCTAACATTGATTTATTCCTGCGCTTCAATTTCTGAACTGAAAGGAACAATTGAATGCACACAAACCACCTTGTAATGTGTGGACGGCGTTATTTACACACTGTAACTGCCAAAAATAATAAAGATGTAGACTAATACATCTGGTAACAAACTAATCAAAAGGATTGCAGCATGGTTGCAAAATACATGTTGCAATCACTTTCTTTTCCCTAGAAAAATATTTTCTGGCTATTTATCTAGATCAGGGAGATTCCTGCACATACTTGGCACGGGTAGGCATGGAAGCATGTACTGTACCAGCAGCACACCATTTGCCAGACTGCTCTAGGAAATAAAGCTTTGAAAATAAATTGAGGGCTAGAGCGTGAAAGTATGTCTTCAGCTCCAGGCCTTAAATGACAAAATTGGTCAGGGAGGCAGAATTACAGCCATGTATTACAGAGAGGCTGTCTGCTCTACGCCATCCTGCACATGTTTCTGGCAAATGCTGCAGTTCACCTCGAAATCTTTCCATTACCGCTGTTTCTTGTCCTCTGTAGTGTAAATCATGTGGGACTGGATTGGTGTCATGTACGCTGAGTGACTTGCAGAATTTACCTGCATGTTTTATAACATCAGCGACGGGGGGCAAGTTTCTCTCACAAGTGTTCCAGCGCTGGTTGTTCCTATTCCAGCCGTCAATGCGGGATTGATAACAAGAACAGATGCTCTCGGCTGCAAACACGATGAAATGTCAGAATGAGGTTATCAAATTACACTTTTCCACATTTAAACTCACCTACAGTTCTTGTTAACAGCACTCTGTCCCTAAGGGTGTCCAGCCCAGCAGCACACTGCAGAGAGGCGCCCTTATACCTGTCACATGGTATCTGGTCAGTTCCAAGACAGTGTTGAAATTCTTGTTTTGGACCAGTGCAATACACAGATGGTCTCCCTGCTGCAGCTCTACTGCATCCCACTGACATGACTGTGTGTGTGTGTGTGTGTGTGTGTGTGTGTGTGGCTTTGCACTCAGAGTTCTACTCCAGAAAATGTGTGATTTCTTAGTGCCAGTTATGTATGTGAATAAATCTCAGCCGTATACGAGCAATAAATCTCCTGAGACTGTAAAGTGTTAGTTTTTTTTCATCCCAATCATTAGATAACAGCGTTGTCTTTTATAACTTTTTTTTTTTTTTTTTTAAATGGTCAATTCAAATTCTACATAGTCATATTTTCAATCTCAAAAGACTTTATCATAGACAGTATATAAAGTTGGATGTATCCTCCAGGTCTGAAAATTTTAAACAACGTGCAAGTGCTTTAAATCTGCTTTTTTTCTCTAACAGCCAGCAGGGGGCGACTCCTCTGGTAGCATTAAGAAGTCAGATTGTGCAGAAGACAATGGGAAATGACCATAATTCTCCGCTGGTTTGTTACTAAAGTAAAACATGTTCCTAATGAATTTATGGTCTCAGTCGCTAGTTCGCAAGTTAATTTTATAAATCATGGCTTCATTTAGAGCAAGGCTGCTTTCCACGTCCGTGTACGCTGACTGATGCAGACTTTGAAAGCAGACAAGCTGTTCTTTTGATAGTGCAATCGGTATATTACATGACACGTATCCTTGCGTGTCTTGTGGACACATAATACAGAAAGCAAAAAGCATAAACCTACCTTGAAATAGATAATAGAGCAGGGTGCGGCTGCCTTGTGATGTACAGATCATCACCACATCACCAAGCGTTGTGTCCTCAAGTTTCTCGAGTCATTGCTGTTTTTTAAGCCCAAGATGGCGACGGCTAATTGTCAAACTTTAGGCTTGAAAATGAGAGTACACAAATCAAAAGGTGATGTCACTTCCCCTGTAGTTTGGAAAGGGACAATGAAGATAGACAGGAAAGTAGGGGAGTGACATGCAGCACATGGTCCAGTCGGCCTGGACTTGATCCACTTCTCAGGGTGTAAGTGCCCATATGGTATGCACTCCAGCCACTGGGCAATCAGGTCGCCCCCTGCAGGGGCTCTTTAAAGTTTTTTCACACCCGGTGAACAACACATACCAAACAGTGAAAATCTGAGGGTGAAATACTGTGCGACACGTCAGTACCAATTTCACACTATTACGAAACCACCAGCATCATTGCTTTATGGATAGTGAGGATGACCCTAAGAATCAGTGTCAGTAGAGGAGCCAAGGATCCCAACGGGTGTCGTTATTTCCATCCAAACTCATAGCATAAAATGAAAAAACAGAAAGATAGGAGATGCAACAATACAAGCAAACTAAAAAATGCATACGTTGTCCCGCTTTATGTCACTCAATCACAGTGAACTCAACATACTGTAGATGGGCAGTTAGATCATGGAAACATGGGACAGTTAAATCAACAGGGCTGGTGATTAACTACCTGGTTTTACTTTTTCTAAACAAAGAGACTGAGTCATTTCCATTTGTGTGTGAACCTTTAACCCTGATGAGGTGATAGTGAGAACAGTCAGACTTTAAGAGGTCTTATTTTAGCTGCCAGGTTATATATAGAACCAAAATTAAAGGAAACTAAAGTAGAACCCAGCAGGAAGTGTCTCAGTAAAGTGTAGAGTCACCGCGTGCCGCCAAAACAGTTTCTTGGCAATGATTCTCCAAGTCTTTGGAACTCTACAAAACGAACGAACCCCACTCTTTCAAAAGATGTTCCCCCATTATGTTTTGATGATGGTGTTGGTCCGAAATCTCCCATAAGTGTTCAGTTGGGTTGAGATCTGGTGATAGTGAGAGTTGTCGCATATGATTCACATTTCATTTCGTCAAACCCCTCAGTGACCCACTATAGATGCAAGGGTTGTCATCCTGGAAGATACCACAGACAAATGTGATATCACTTTGTTGTGATTTGCGAGTGCACCCACATCTTGCAGCAAAACGATTCCAAAGCATAACAGAATCACTAGATTCTCTCAGGACTTCAGGGGTTATCCTTAGTTTGTCATCCATCTGTATATGGCCGATGTTTTACAGTTAAACAGAACGTATAATATGATAAAATGACTGCTGTGTGACGTGCAAGTGAAATGATCATCTCCAGCTTACCTCTGTGCCATAGATATAAAACATGGATATAGTGACTCTGAAGTCATCCATTGATTTGTGGACTACTAGTTTGGCATTACTGCATTCACCATCGTTCTCTTTTGACACCGATCACGACAAGC